GCCGGAGTTAAACCACGACAGCAAAGATACAAACATGAAGTCAAGCTCGGCAAGCGTGGTGGATACACAGGAGCTGAAGTGTCACTTTGAAAAGGGAGATAAAGTACGCCTTTCTAATTTTATAGACCAACTTGAGTAGACCAAGTGTCTTATTTTGCTCATTGACATATCAGAGATTTTCTTTTAGTGACACGCAGCAACATTACAAAGCTGTCCTGTGAAGGAGGACAGGCAAAAGCCAGTGCACCTTTACATCAAATATACAAAGAATAAGCAAGTACTACTTCTCCTCTCAGCCCTTTTAAATGCAAAAGAAAGCATAAAACATGTCAACTCACCTAAGCAGATGGAAGTCAGGGGCAACTAAGAAGAATTTAGTAACTAACAAATTGGTTTCATTCTGACAGCACTTTACTTAGATTTCAAGTTCTCTTCACAAGTATCAGCTTAAGGACAATTATGATATTTATTTTATTAAATTCTTCCTATATTTACTTCTCGTCCCCTTTTACTAAAAAAGTCACCACAAACATACTGATTAAATAGATAGAAATAAGTGGTTAAACTTTGAATTAGGGAATTGCTATCCACACACCTGTGCTGTGTGACATACTTATAAATGATCAGAAAGAGAAATAAACAAGTGCCAAAATCTGCAAAGGGTGCAGAATTACCAGGGTATTAGAAGGACAAACAAATCACAGGAGGCAGGCTGTGCAGGAAGATAAATGGGTAGAGAAAATGTGACTTGCACAACACAAAATAACCCAAGGAAAAAAAAAACCCACACCACCAAAAAAAGAAAAAAGTACAGCAAAAAAAAAGCATGCAATAATCTGTTCTAAATCAGCAATTAGCAATGAGGAAAGTGATCATGAAAACTTTTTTCAAAACTTGTATGGTATCAGCTCAGTGCTGAGCAGCAATCAAAACTGAAACCACAACATTAGGAATTATTTGGAAGAACACAGAAAGGAAAAAAGTGGTTGTTCTATCATGCCTAGTGCATGCCTAGTGCATCCACATCTTGAATTCTGCATGAGTGCCACATCATGCCTAGTGCATCCACATCTTGAATTCTGCATGAGTACTAGTCCTCCCATTTCAAAAGAGCAGCAGAAATACTTACTAAAGAATAGCTTACATATGAAGAGAGAGTAATCAAGACTCAGCGGGGTTTTTTTTAAAAAAAGAAGAGAATGGACCAAGGCACCAGCAAGGTGAATGTGGAGGTGTTATTTATGGTGACGTTCCTTCTTACAGCACAAAAACCAGGGATCTTAAGATACTAAAAAGCAAGTAAAAAACAACTACTTCTCACAAAACCACTCTGCAGTGGGCAGATACAGTGATCACAACCACAGATCCCAGATTTGAGCAATGGTAAGAAACGCACGGGGAATGAATTAACAAAGCTCTTAAACACAGTGTAAGAACTGCTGCTGGAACATGAAACCTCCAAGCCACGGACAAGGTAAAATAGTACTGGGGGGCAAGGGGGGCGGTGTGCGCACAGAACTGAGGAAATGTCCCAGGAATTCAGGCAGCATTTTTTTTTGAACCGCTGAGATTTAATTGGTCCTGTTGACACAATTTGCTGGGAAAGTTGAGGAACAAATGACATGCCCCTCCAGCAGAGGGTAAACACTTCACAAGTCACATGCCGCGGGACAAGAATACGGTACGGGAGAATTTATCTTTCCTACCCAATAGCCTAAAATTTCTATGGAAAGCACTCTATACTTTTGGATATTCCCCCCAGCAGCTGAGTTACAAGTACCTTGTCGTATGGGACCTTGTAAGAACTTTTGATCTTACGGTCACACAGCAAAATCCCATTTGACTGGAAGACGACACAGGGAATCTCCCTTCACCTCGAGTGCATTCATGTAGCAGTTGAACAGGATTCCAACTAGGTAGTTAAAAAAATGCAGTACAATGGAAAACAAAAATCCCCTATAGTAAGGGTTTAAGTCAAAACTGACCTGGAAAGAGCTGACCAGCAAGGCAACGGTGAGCTTAAGGCAGGCTGCTACACGGGTGGCCCCCGCATCAGGCAGCTTTCCAGTATAAGGAGACAAGGGAGTAGCAGAAGGCTCCCATGTATTTATATACCGTCAACACCGAGAGCTAACAGAAGTAGCAGAAAAGAGGAGCGTTAAAAAACAAGCTAGTTCTGACAATCACAGTATCCTCACTTCTTAATATGGCTCAGGAGGCGCTCACGAAAGGTGTCACCAGTGTTTGCAATAATCAGCAGTCCAAATCACATCAGAAGAGATCTTCATCATATCCGTAAAAACTTAGCTAAATCTAAACCGAAGCAGATAGCAAATAACTTAAGGCAGAATTTTCTGGTTTCCCTTCAAGGATGTCATGAGCAGATGTTTGAATTGAAGCACCTGGCCCAGAAGTGCATTTGTCAAGGCCACCTGTGCCAGCAGGACTTCTTCACCACAAATACTCTTTCTACCGCTCAGAACAGATACGCCTGGGAATACTGTGCAATTCTGCCCTTCTCTGAAGACCGAGATGCCCATTGCTCAGAAGATGAGCTTTCAGATATTCAGCTGCTTTCCAGAACCCTCAGGAATGCTTTGCTGCGCATTTTGTGCTGGAACAGGTTGCCCAGAGAAGCTGTGGATGCCCCATCCCTGGATGTCTTCAAGGCCAGGCTGGATGAGGCTTTGAGCAACCTGGTCTAGTGGAAGGTGTCCCTGCCCATGGCAGGGGGGTTGGAACTAGATGGTCTTTAAGGTCCCTTCCAACCCAAACCATTCTGTGATTCTATGATTTTTATCTACCGTAACAGGTAACAGCCGTTGTGGAAACACAAGTAGGCCACTGGGGGAAACAGAGGGAACAATGAAGTGAAAACTGGTGCTGGACATCCAGAGTGACAGGTCTTCTTGCCAACTACATGACACAGCTGAACAGTAATTCACAGAAAGCCACAATTATTTAGTTTGCAACTTTTATTTCTTTATAAGTTATTGGTATAAAGTTCAATATCTAATTATACAGTCATCTGGGGACTTTAAGGGAAGCTTATTTTGTTCTTTTTAGTGTCTTTTGCCATTTGGTCCTCAGACTTGTTTTACGAGGACTAATATTATCTGTGTACCTTAAATTTCTGTACAAAACTTCAAGCCTTTGTTTTGTTTTTCTGAGTAGGATGCACAAATCATGCATATTGTAGACAATATAATGGTCAAGAAAGTATTTCCCTCTTCAACTAAGGCAGTTAAAACCCCGTTAATATCAACTGAGTTATTTGGAAGAGTAAAAAGGCTTCCTCAGGGCTCACTTATTCTTTGAGCAAGTGTCATGTTCAGTAAGACACGCCCTCTCGGAGTTATTATTGATTGGAGTGCTGCCTGCATCGTAAGACAGCGATTGTCAAAGACAGCATTTAATTATGTACATTTTACAATGTCACTAACCCTTTTGAGTATCAACTCATCGGTGTTAAGCATTGTGTAAAACCACATGCAAAAATGGCCATAAAATCTTCTCTAATAGAACCAAATTGGCAAGTTTTTGGAAAGGATATTTCAACGTTCAAAAAAATATACTGTTTATTAAAATGAGCACTTCAAGTAACTTAAATATCTTTAGCAAATATGTCCAACAAGAAACTCTGTAAAACAAATTGTTCTTAGAACAAAAAGCTAATGAATGGCTATTTAGACACTAACTTTTCAACACAGTGGTGGGTCTGTGTGAAACAATTCGTAATCTAAATAAAGTGAGTCCATTACACTCTTAAAAAAACATACATTAAGCAAGACTGAATAACTATTGCATTTCCATATTTACAAAAGTGCTTAGCATAACAAAATCACCTAAAAAAATATAAACTTTACTGATATCATTTGGTTCTATGTGTACTGCTAGATCTGCACTTGAAGAAAAATAGTATTTACATTGCTAGGTTTAGACAAGTTTGCTATAATTTTTAAAGAAAATTAACAAAAATCCCCACAAAAATGGACCCCTATGTAAGTCAATTCATTCCATCTGGCTCATCATAAAGAGAGCAGAAGCAAATCCTTCAGTACCGAGCCGTGTAAGTCATTCTAGCCATTGTCTGTGGTGTTAGAGCCCAACACGGGCTGCCGACAAATTGGGCAAGTGGAGTTTTCAGAAAGCCAGCGATCGATACAATGAATGTGAAACTCATGCATACAAGGTAACTGCCTTAGCTTATTCCCTGTTACGTACTCATTAATGCAAACACTACACGTCTTACTTAATTCATTTTCAGCATGAATATCCCCATAGTTCCGGGTAGAAAGATTGTCAATCTGCTCTTTGGTTAAACCTCTCAAACGATCATCGTCATCATCTTCGTTCAGCAAGAAGAAGTGGGCAAGTCGAAGGATGGGCAGCGTTCCGTTTTCCACGAGGTTGTTGGCATCTTGAGACTGCCTGTTCTCTTGGCTTTCATTATTGCGACCGTGGCGCTGAGTGTCATCGCTCTGTCCATCTGTCGCCCTGCTGCCTTCTGCCGCATGCCCATTTCCAGCTGAAACCTCGCTCGCATCGCTGCTGTTGCTGGCTGCGCTCGAGTTATTCCGCTCTGACGTCACGTCTGGTAAGGGATGACCACCTCTTTGCACTTCTGGGTTAGACTCCGTTTCCATTAAAGAACTCAGTTCTCCAAAGCCCGTCATGATTTGTCTAAGGATCGATCGAAGAGCCACCGATGAAGGTTCACCAAGTCCAGTTTCTGAAATCCGACGAAGAGGTATGCGTATAGTGCTAACATAGGTTCGAATACCCGCACGTTCCGATCGCGATATCGTACGCCGGAATCCCCCACTGTCGCTTTCAAAGGTAACTGTGTTTTCGGCCATTCCTACTCTAGAACGAGTTCTACTGGCAATACTGTCCCGATCTCGGTTTTCTCCAGGACGAATTCTTCTCACCTGAAGATCTAATGTAATTGTTGGATGCCTTCTAACAGCAGCTACTGGTCTACTAGACTCCTCCACTTCCGAAGTTACCCCCACGGATGGGGCTACACTGGAAAGTTGAGGAGTCTGAGTGTTACTTCTTGCTCGTTCTTCATCAGGCTGTGGAGAGGGCTGAGCTGTTTGTCTTCTACTCCTGCTCACCTGCTGTGCATTTCTATCCTGCCTCTGCCCATGCTCCTCAGAATGAGCAGGGGCACCTTGCCTTGGCAGTGGAGAGCGACTTCGACTTCTTAAAGTAGACCTCAGCCGCAGAATTTCTAGTCTTTGGTTTGCATTCCGAACAGTAGTTCTAGATCTACCTCTTGCGACTCCTCTGGAAGTACCTCTTTCTGGCACCTGTCTTTGTCCGCCAGTAGCTGCAGAATTATTACGTGTAGTATTATTACGTGTAGTATTTGTTTGGGAAAGGCCTGTTGACTCCCTCGTTCTACTCCTGAGCCTCCCTGAGATTGGATGAGAGGCTACTTCAGAGCTTCGTGCCACGGAACTTCTTACAGACCTGGTCCTTGCAGTGCTTGAAGCCTCACGGTTTGCCTCTCTTCTGGTCCTGCTCCTCATTCGTGGGGCTACCGGACTGACCGCTCTTTGATGTCTCCTTTCTAAATACATCCTGCTGCTATCAATACCCACATACTCCTCACCAGCAGTTTCCAAACTGTTATGCTCATGATTTATGTTGATTTCAAGACTAAATCGAAACTCGCCACTGTTTGGATTTGTTCGACTCACGGCTCTCCAGGTTTGGTTCCCACTCTGTCCACTGCGAGTGGCGTTTCCCGTGCGCCGGAATGTGTTCAGCCATTCAAGCAAAGAGTCACCATTTGAGTTTTCTCCAAGAACATCAGAATCTGAGAGAACAAAGAATTGCAAACACTCACACAACTGCACTCTCGGCACACTATGACGCACTTAAAATCTTCTATGCTTGCTGGGCCCTGACTTGAAAAACATTACAGCAGCAGGACAGCTACCTCGCTGTGCTAACAGAATTTTGCTGAAAATATGCCGTATGTAAAAACATCAGCAAAAATCATCAGTTCAACCTAGAACTTATGTCTCACCAGCAGACACACAGAGAAATGAATATGCCCAGATGGCCTCTTCTGAGAGAGTGTTCAGATTTACGCAGTCAGAAGTCAGTTGTATTTGTCCAATATCTGTCCCTGGCTTAAGCTATCAATTTGAGGGTATCCTAGTCAGCTAGTTTTGATAAAGCAAGGAAAAGTAAGACATATTTTGTCCTCTTTTGGAAAACATTTTTTAAAAATTGTTTTCTATATGCAGTGGAATAAATGATGCATGGTTTCAACAGATTTTGTGCAAAACCACTCTTTTGTAGCCTACTACAATATCCACAGCTCCATACCCACATCTCCTCCAACTACAGGCTCAAGAACAGACACAACTGTTCTGGTTAGTGCTAACTACATGTATACAGAAAGCCAATGGTCATGATCACAGTGGAGGTTTTTCCTTGAAGGGATCAGATTAAGTTCTCCCTACTTCCATGGAACCTGCAGGAACAAAAATATCTTTATTTCCGAGTTGCCTATTCTCCTAAAAGTGACTAGAATTGGCCAAATGATTAAGCCAATATTGCTGGGAAAATGCAGTCAGACAGTGCACGTAACACAAGCCTCACTCCATTAGAACAAATAGAAATGCAACAACAAAATCAACAGTGGAGAGGTTAACTGTTTCCCAACTGACTTCTATCCTGTTCCAACTTCTCTCATACAAGACAAAAGCTTTCAAGCATTAGAAGAATGAAAATTATTTTTGTGCTTCTAAGTTTACTAGCAAAGGGAAACCACGAAAGGCAAGAGAGTAAATTTGTGGCTGACATGAAATATTTCATGAAAATAGATTTAAGTTTGCTTTCATGTCATTAGGAAATCTCTCTTACTTTGAAAACATTCCACAGATACAAAATGGAAAAGCAAGACTGAAAACAGCTGGTACTGAACAACATAGGCATTTATCTTAAATATCTGTACAGAACAGTATTTATGCATCACGTACTATGTGTGCATATATATGCACACAAACGAAGAACGTTTACCTCCAACAGTTCTATCTTCACCTTCTCTGTTATCCGGATCAGTCTGTGATGCCAGGCGCTCCTTAGCCCCCTCCAAGCGTTGCTGCAACTCTTCTGCTGTTATTTCCCCTGAAAGAATTTACATTTTGATAATGCTGGTGGATAAGACATTATTATTGGCTCAATACACCCAGGCAGAAATAACAATATTTTCTATCTTGAAGGAAAGTTCAGAAGTAAGGTGAAATTAATGAAACCAGAAAGAAAACAACACAAGTGTGAGATTGTAACACATTTACACAGATAACAGAGGAAGTAGGTACTGGGAGGGGGAGTGGCAGTAAACTGAATGTGTATCGACATCGTGCCAACTTCCTGCAAAAACTCAGAGGCCCCCTAAACTGCCACATACCAACAGATATACTTCAGTGTACCAGACGTTAATTATTTGTGTTTGGAAATTACCTGTGTATGGAAATGTTTGCATTTCATGGAGTCATATTTTTAGTCTAGCTTTACTATCTAAGTTGTTAATTTGTAATAAATATCGTTAATTTTTAAGGGAAACGGAGGGGTTACTTTTCTTTTTACAAAGCCATAGGCGTCAGGCTACTTGAGTCACACAACCACCTGTGGTGCCTGACAGCAGCACTCGTGCTACACATCACATCTTTTCTACTGAACGTATTCACATCTTACCAGGAGTTCCAAGCAAGTTGCGGTCTCTCATCAACCTGTAGTCTTCCTCATTGAGTTCATTAATGAACTGGTAATAGGCCTCCTCCCTACTGAGGCGCTCTAGCTGGCGTTGTCTCTCATCTTCACCACGACCATGCTCTCGTGAAGATGCCTGTTCATTGCCATTTCCGACACGGTGCCGGGAGCGATCCATGATAATGCCAGGCTGTCCTGAACAAAACCAGAAAGTTAGACAGCACAGTAATTATGTTAAGAATTTACCTAAATTAAAGTAAAAAGTTCCTAGGATTTTCAACGGAATTAGTTTATTAATAGCTAAAGATGATTAAGATGAACCAAGTTCCATGTTATTTGCCAAGTCAACAGTGTAGTTATACACTGTAGTTAGACAAATATTTTGGGAGTACACAGCGTACAAGCCTGTACACTGTAGTTCCACAAGTATTTTGCTTCTTACTTGATCAAAATTAGCTTGCAGTCCCCTTTGTTCACTGAAAGGGCACAACAGTTGGTATAGCAACTTTAAAAGAGCAATGAGATTTTTTTTTTTCTAGGTAAATAAGGATATTCTAGAAAGTTAAAGGAATAACATAAAACCTATTTCCCTTCTCCCCAGTAAAACACAGCAGCAACATGGAGTATTCTAAAAGCACTTTCTTTAATTACTGGACTGTAATTACCCAGTGTAGTCTTCCGACAACCACTGTTACTGCTTTCAAGAACATTTGAAACCTTTACTGATAAGCAGGTAAGACTACTTCAGTATCTCAGTTGGTGCTACCCCTCACATAGCACAAAACCTACAGTTAAAATTTTGACTGAACTGACTCTTGACAATCTGACATTACTGGTGTCTTTTCCTTTTGGTATCTAATCCAAGGATTAGCTAACAAAAGCATACCCATCTCCAGGAAACTGGTGTAGAAGAGAAAGCACTATACGTTACCCACAATTCTTCAATACTTGCCAACTATTTAACCGGTGGGACCACACTATTAGAAGGTGTGAATAACCTTCCAGTATCAGAAAGAGGCACCACCTCCGTTGACTCCTGTGCCATTACTAGCTTGACTCAATCCTGGGCCAATCAGTTCTCAGACCACTCCCCATCTTTTTTATTTCCTAAAGAAAACCTGTTCTTCAACATTCAGTTGGAAAGAAGAGACAGCAAAGTGTCATCCTTTTAACAGGGCTTCCTGTGTACCAAAAGCCATCTGTAATACCTGCTGAGGCAGACACCTGACAGAAGCAATCGCTTCTCTAGCGAACACCGGCCAAAAAACCCAGCCATATGGCACCATTCTGCTTACAGGTGAAAAGAAAGTTATGGGGTAAACACTTTTTTAATCAATTCACCAACATATGAAAGTCGCTTCAAGTATTAATTATAGGGAAAACACAGAACAGCATTCTTAGCACACTCCGGATCAGTAATTAGTCTTCACAGTAAAGGTGATGAAACAACAAACAGACCAAATCAACTATTGGACATACATTCAATAAAGAGTAAATCTTTATCAATGCTGCCAACAGATACGAAGAATCGGAAAATGTATTTGCCAACCGCAGAAGCTGGCATACATTTAATATACCTTTCTTATGTTCTTTGTGGGATCCATTCTGACGCATCCTTGGTCTCCTCATTTTCCACCCCATATGCTACTTCTTTCCCCCAGAGGTAACTACACTTCTAAACAGCCCTTCCCAAACTTCTCACTCCTGTGTCCAATACTGCATTTCCATGTATTTAATTCTTTCCTCCCAGCTCTTTAACTCACTCAGCTGAAAAGAAATGAAATCTGAATATCTTGCCTTCAAGACATTTTCGCTTCCCATCGTACTTGTAGGAATTTAAATTTACCATCGCCCTCTCGGCTCAGTCTCCCAAGCCGTAGGCAATCACTGACTCTCATTTCCCACATGGGCTATGTTCAAATTGGGTCACTTCTCACAGCACATGTCTAAACACGAATTTCTTTGCAAGCTCTTTGTCTTACTACCCTGGATTCCTGAAAACAAATGCAATCCCCACCCCACAACACAACTATTACCCTGATGACACCCATCACTTGACTATTATCAGAAAGATGCCCAATCCGTATGCACTGAATGCTAAAGTGCCTCTGTCCCCGGTTACTCACATCTTGACACAGGTAAAGCAGGAAGGGGAAAGAGGACAGATAAAACTCACTTAGTTCCACACAAGGTTCCTATTTAGATGAAAGCCTTGAAACCACCAACGTGTTATTGTTTGCCTGACAACGACCACAGAAAGTTAACTGACTTGCTGCACAGAAAAAATGACATAAAAATTCTTGAGATGAAAAGTTCACCACATGTAGTCCCCCTCAACCTAAATTTAAGTTTTTCGAAAGAGAAGTTCTTTACTTTTCATTTCTCATCCACAGAAAACCTGGAAATCTCATCTTCAGATTTTGTGGGCGGTAGAAAAAAATTACTGTTTTGTTGACAACTGTATGGTAGGATGATTAGTCACACTCTTTAAATGACTCAGAAACAGTAAGAAGTGTGAAGTGTTCGGTTGTCCCATCTGTTTAACATAACTGCACGGATGACAACTACTATCCATATACTTATCAAACACCATCAAAACTAAGTATTTTGGCACTTAAAATGTTTCCGAGTAGTGAAAGTTGAAGGGTATTAACTGCATCAAAATGAAGTACTTTGGCATGTAAAATATTTCAGAGTATTGAAAAGCTCAAGGGTATCAACTACTAATATGTAAAAAACTGAAATCAAAATCCAGTTATGACTCAGGATTACCCTCCCTTTGCAGAGAAACAGGTGCCACATGTCTACAGTTTATCTACATTTTCTAGAATTTTCAATCTAAGGCTAACTTCCTTAGTTCTTAATTCAGTTACTCTGGCCCATTCTTGAAGATTTACATTCATTTTTATCTAAGAAATATATACCTTATGCTTTTAGGCTTTGGCCTCCATCCATTAATTACTACCCTCTATTCAATTAGGTACTCAATTTCTGAAAGACTACCACCTGATTGCAAGCAGGATGACCACGGAGTCTAGATGAGGAAGCCTTCCCGGGCGGCCGGGCTGTTTAGCATTTCTGTCACACTGCAGCCTCCAGGCGAGATGATCTCACCGAATTGGGGAAAAAAAAAAGGGGGGGGGAAGAAACCAACCCCAAACCCGGAACACCCCACAGAGGCTGGGGAAGGAGGGGAGAAGAAGGAAAGACAGACAAAGGAAGAGTCAGAAGGTGGTTAGGGAACAGGCCGCAGGACACCCAGAGATCTGAGCGTAGGGCCT